TTAAATATATATAGAACTGTAATAAAATTCCACAGATTAAAATCCCAGGTAATCATTTCAATAATCTGAACCTTCAACAGATTATCTAAAGTTACAACTTTTTACATATTAAAAAATCTAAAAACAGGACTCGAGGTTAAAAAATGGCATAAATTAATGGGATTATGATCAGCTCCACTTAATCTTGAGCAAAAACACTCCATAATAATTCCCCTTCCCCCAGTACCTTAGGGTACAAAGATGAAATGAAACACTTAGCATCTCTATTGAGCCAAATGATCAGTTTCTGTGCTGTACTGCTTTATGTAATTATAAGCAACTCTTTTCCAGATAGTGGGGATCACAATATAGGTCATACTGTATTAAGAAGGCCCTTCAGGCCAATTCAGCTCATAATAACAATGATCCTTGCATTTGACATAGGGCGTTATCACATCTTCAAGATGTCTCAAATCGCTTCACAGGATATACTGTAAAGTGAATTGACTATATTTTGGGGGCGAAACACATTGCACACAGTAGTATCCCACAAACACAAAATATAGAGTCAATTCACTTTACAGTTTATTCTGTGAAGCGCATTGATATGTCTCAATAGCGTGTTAAGGCGCTATATCAAATCCAAGGATTATTATTATCACTGCTGATGAGACTGACAAATTCAGCATTGATCAGGGATTGTGATCAGGTCAGTGTGTTCAGTAACACACTCCTCATCTAGACCGTCCCTAGTTTTAGAAAAACAGTTGAATCTTATGAATTCTTTTGCTTTAGGGAATATACAATGCAATTCCGTACAAGTTCAAATTCATTAAGCCACAAATGAGAAGCAGGTTCTCATAGCCTGAAACTACCTGCAATAGATGATGCAATTTCAAGCCACAAGTTAATATTTATGAAACATCAACTGAGAAGCAAGAATATCTTATGTATTCTAAATTAGTTTCATTCAGTTCCCCCACTATGGTCAAATGTCGTCCATATTAATACGTTTGCCTCAGGCATTCTGATGAAGTTGGATTTACCTAGGTTACAATCCAGTGTTGTAACTGGTACAAATTTTATCCTTCAAGTTGATTCTATTGCTCTAACTGAAAGGGTGGTGGAAGCAGATTTGAGCTTTCAAAAGGAAATTGAATATGTACTTGAAAAGGAAAAAAATTGCAGGGCTTTGGGGTAAGAGCAGGGGGAGTGGGACTAGTTGAGCAGCTCTCTCAAAGAGCCGGCACAGGCATGATGGGCCGAATGGCCTCTTTCTGTGATGAAAGAGTCTATGATTCTATGATACAGCATATTCTGTGAAGCGCTTTGAGAAGTCTGAACGATGTGATGGGATGCCATGTCAAACCAACAAATGATAATAATCCTTCCATTTGATATAGCACCTTAATACGTCTCAAGATGCTTCACAGAATATAATGTAAACTGAATTGACTGTATATTTTGTGCGCGAAACATGCCAACCAATTGCGCAAGGCCGAGTCCCACAAACAGTCGTGGTTAAGCGCTCTGAGAAGCTGCCCGGCGTGGAGGGCGCTATATAAGTGCAAGTTGTTGTTGTTGTGGGTAGAGCGACCAAATAATTACTATCATTTATTTTCAAGTCCGAAACCCCCCTTCCTTTCATCCCCCCGCCCCGCTGGTCTCAGCCTCGGAGGTCGGTTAGTCCTGAATTAGGGGGAAAAGAATGGCAAATTCAACATTGCAGCACACCCCACCCCCCCCCAGCACAAGACGTGCATTTTACTAGATTTGATGTCTCTTTAACAATACTTACTGCACTAAACAATCGAAGAATAGCAGGGAAATCTGGCACATAAACAACTTGTCAAGTGTAAATATAGAACTGAACTTTTTACTCCTATATTTTGACAGCATCCAGCATCCCTCGAGCATTTTAGCTGCACCTGGGAAAATTAATACTGTCTGGATTAACAACAGCATTGGACACCCAGCTGCCACGCGTCAGTCAGCAGAACCCAGTTAATCCGTAGACCATGTTAAAAGTATAGCCTGTAGCAGTTCAATTGGAATCCCGCAGCGTACTGGTTAGAGCACTCGCCTCGCCAGTGAGAGGACCTAGGTTCGATTCCTGGGCAGGGCTAAACCTTAGGGAAGCTTCCCGACTCCACACGCCTCTGTTTACCTAGCAGTAAGTAGGAACTCACTTGTTAGTCGATTAGTGGATCACTAACTGGGGGTAATAATCCTTGAAACAAAATTATAAGTCCATGACTATTTGTGGGATACTGCTGTGCGCAATTGGCTGCCGCATTTCGCTCACAAAATACATTGTCAATCCACTTTACAGTATATTCTGTTAAGTGCTTTGAGATGTCTTGATGACGTGATAAGGCGCTAATCAAATGCATTAATGCAAGAATCATTATTATTATTTACTTTCGGTGAAGAGGTAATCTGATCTTTAGCAAATGGACTTCATTCATTTGTAAATCAATCTCAAATAACTAAGAACTTATTCACTGCAATTTATTAAACGCCGCGTGATTTCAATTAGCTCAGTGTTAAAACTTTCATCATCACTTATTGAGGCTTCCTGATATTTTAAAAGGAATAATCACATCACACCAGGTTCCAGCTTATGCCTTAGCTGTTGCTCTGGATCAGAACAAAAACTCATGCATCATTGCCTCCATGGCCGTTATTATCATGCTTATCACTGTAACCACAGCTGAGCCACCCACCTGGCCATTTTACACAGCAATATCCCAACAAACGGGCCTTTTAAGATGGATGCCTCCTCCTCTCTCCTCGCCCTTCACACTTCTGATCCCATCTCCCTCATCCATCTCCTGCATGAAACACATCACCTCCTCCTTTGACCCCATTACCACATAGCTACTGTATAATAATAATCCTTGCATTTGATTTAGCGCCTGATCACATCGTTGAGAAATCTCAACGGGTTCACAGAATAAACTGTAAAGTGGAGTGACTGTGTATTTTGTGGATGAAACGTGGCAGCCGATTGTGCACAGCAGTGTCCGACAAACCTTCGAGGAATGAGTGACCAAATTATTATTTTGGGGGGGGAGGAATTATTACCACTGGGAAGCGATGGGATCGCAGGGGTATGTGTTCCTCCAATATCTTCACTCGCCCTCAGAAATGAGGTAGCCCTTCCACTACCTCAACTCCTTCCCTGCAATTCACTCAAACCGCACAGAGCTCATTGTGTTTTGTGGACTATCTGTTCATCAAACTCTGATAGAAACTTATTACTAGTTTTTTTACATGTCGTTTTTCAGCAGAACATATCCAGTTCTGTGTGCTGTCAGTTCCACAGCAGTGTCCCACAAACAGTCATGAAGTGAATGACCAATTTTATCTGGGGAATTGTTGGCCAGGAGACCGGGAGAGAGAAACTCCCTTCTCTTTCCCAACAATGCCGTGGGATCTTTAACGTCCAGCTGAACGGACAGAACCTAGGTTTAACGTCTCATCTGAAGACGGCTTCTCCGACGATGCAGTGCCCCCCCAGCACTGCGCTGAAGAGTCAGCTTAGACTACAAGCTCAAAGTCTGACACAGGGGCAAGAGTGCTGCCAACTGAGCCATGCTGGCACCTAATAATAAGCCAAAATATGAACTCATGGGTGATCTCTGCAAGGTTGGAAAAACTTATTTGGCCTTTTATCCTAACACTCTGAAACCACAAGCTGATATTTGATCACTGACTGTAAGCCTCAAATCCCTGTGGAACACCACTGCTTAACAGGGTAATGAAAACCACCATCCATTTATCATCACCTCCATTCTACTCCCACGACAATTTCTCATCCTGCTGGATCATTTACTGTTAAAGTTCACCTATACCATCCTTAAAAACCTCAGTCAGAACCCAAACTACAACTGCATTCTAAAATTCCCAAGTACGTCAACGCTCACTGGGAATATGCCTTGCCCACTACACACACATCCCTATCTAACATTCCAGGGGATTTGACACCCGTGACCTATTGCTTCCCAAACCACATTGATTTTCCCTCAAGGCCTTTGTCCTATTTGCACACACATTAATAATGTCCAAGTGATCTATTGTTTTCCCACTCGTGCCTCAGCACTTAATTTAAATATATTATACTCCCCATCCTCAACTAACACTTTTATTTATAGAATCACAGAAACTAGCACAGAAGAAAGCTAGTCAGTCTATTGCACTCACTCCCCCGTTGGAGCCATCAACTCTACTCCCATTCCTGCTCTTTTTACCTCTATTGTTTTCTAGCCATAGAGTATGAACTTCTTCATACTATAATCCTAACTATAAATTGCCTGCTTCAATCCTTCTGCTTTACCCCTCTATAAATATCACAATCCAGCTAAAGAATCATCTCTGACTGCACCTTTGACCACTTTCCCTTTAAGCGCTGAGATGCCATCGCATGTGGAATGCGCAATATAAATTTGTTGTGATTGTTCTTACTTCTCCCCCCACCTGCCCCCCCATCTCAAGCTCCCACTCAGTCTCTAAAGTGATTTGAGATTTTATAATAATAATCTTTGTATTTAATATAGCACCTTATCACTCCATTGAGACGTCTCAAAGCCCTTCACAGAACATATAGTAAAGTGAATTGACTGTGTATTTTGTGAAACGCGGCAGCCAATTGTGCACAGCAATGTCAACCTGGTTCTTAATTACTGCTCGGTAAACAGAGGCGTGCGGAGCAAGGAAAGTTGCCTATGGTTTCGCCCCGCCTGGGAATAAAATGCAGGTCCTGTTGCTTGTGAGGTGAGTGCATAACCACTATGCTACGAGACTCCGGATGTTCTAGCTACGTAATAGGTCTGGTATACAATACAATATTACATTTGTCTAGTGCCTTTCACGTCGGCAGGGGCAAGGCCGTGGAGGGCCTTGAAGATATAAGAGTAACTGTTGGTGGTGTTAAACACGTATTAGCTCAGGCAAGCAAATATTGTAGTTGATACAATGCCACCAAAATCCCATCGAGTGAAAGATCACAGCTTACTTACATATTCCCCATAGGTGGTGTCCTGAGCGGGAGGGGGTGGAGGTCTGTATCCTGGCGCTCCTCTTGCTCTAGGTGCTGGGGCCCCACGGCCCCTGACGACAAGACCCCGACCGGCCAGCGCTCCTCTGGGGGCTGGTCCCCCTCGTGGGACAGCAGCCGTGGGGGGTGGGACACCTCCGCGGCCCCTGGGGAAACCAAAGCAAAGAGGGAGCGTTCAGCTCGCATTCGACCATATTCTTATATATATATATTCTTATATATATGTTATAAGGAGGCCTGTAGCTTAGTGGTTAGACCACTCCCCTTGCAAGCGAGAGGACCCGGATTCGATTCCTGGCGAGGCAAGTTTCCTTACTCCACATGCCTCTGTTTACCTAGCAATAAGTAGGAACCCACTAGTGAGTCGATTGGCAAATCGCTTTCTGGGGGTAATAATCCCCTCAAAAATTAATAACTAAACAAAATAATAATTTGGTCACTCAGTGTTTGTGGGACACTGCTGTGTGCAGTTGGCTGCCACATTTAGAAATAGAAATAATAATATAATAATAACCCTTGTATTTGATATAGCACCTGATCACATCGTTGAAATGTCTCAAAGCACTTCACAGAATACACTGTAAAGCGAATTGACTTTGAGACATCCATCTGACATGAAAGACACAAATCAAATGCAATTATATTGTCTGAAGAATTTATTTAACTCAACTATTTCTATCACCACTTATCCCTTGAAGGGACCATCTCATCTTTTATCCTCCGTATATTGATGAGTAGAATCTCTTATCTACACTGCCTGTTCCTTTCACTTAACTTATTTTGCCTTGGCCTTTTAGTTTATTTTGCCTTAGCCACTGTGCTCTGACTAGGTTTCAATCTCTCCCAGGATTAATGCTTCTTGTCACATTCTTACAAGCATTCCATTTTACTTTCTCGTTCCCATTCTCACGTGTTCCTCCCAAGACAGCTCTTTTATCTCTGGAGTACTGCCTTTGCTCTTAAGTGCAAAGATTTGTACAAGACTTCACTTTAACTTTGCCAAGCCTTACACAGCAATGTGGCACTGTGGTAAAGACACAACAGAATGTTGCTCCTAGCTGGTTCCTCCTCCTCCCTCCCCCCACCATGTTGCCAATCCCACCCCCCCCCACCCACCCACGCCTCCGTCACCATCCTCTCCTCCTACCATGGCACACACCCTACACTCATTTGCCTCCATCGCTCCCTCCTCCCTTTCCCCCACCATCACCCTCCACCTGCTGCTTCGACCTCCTTCCCACCCAGCTTCTGGTCACCCAACTACCTTCCTCTGCTCACTGCTGGCTGACACAATCAACCAGTCCCTCTTCTCTGGCTCTGTCCCACTCCCCCTCAAAATCGCCGTCCTCTCCTTAAAAAAGTTACCCTCGATCCCTCTAACCACAAAATTTAAACCCATCTCAAACCTTTAAAACCATCTCAAACCTGAACTTCACTCGCACATCTCCATCCACTCCCTACTCAAATTCCTCATATTCCAGCCCAGTCTCCTGCGGGGTACCCCAGGGCTCCATCCTTGGCCCCTTCTTTTCCTTATCTACAAGCTCCCTCTTGGCAATGTCATCCACAACATGGGGTCAACTTCCACCCAAATCTACTTCTCTTCCAGCTGCGACTCCTGTCAGTTTGCTTGACAGAAATCACGGCCTGCAGCTGAATGTCGGCAAGACAGAAGATTATCCCCAGAAAGCGATCCACCGATCAACTGACAACCAGGTTCCTACTTACTGCTAGGTAAACAGAGGCGAGTAAGGAAACTTGCCTGCCTGCCTGGGAATCGAATCCTTGCGAGGCGAGAGCTCTAACTGCTACGCTACACGATTCCAGTCACAGATCTCCCAGTGATTGCCACCAGGGCTGATGCTGATTTAGTGTTACCTTTCCTTTTTGTTGCTGATCAGTGCTGACCTGGGAGATGCCCATGTGGACATTAGAACACACAGTCACTACATTTTGCAGTATATTCTGTGAAGCAAAGATTATTATTATAGCAGTGGTTTGTACAGATAGTGTACTACAATTGCTGATTTGGGATAAAAGAGACAAGAAACCTGTTAACTTTAGCTGGGTAGCATTTAAATCATCTCAACTGTTAAACACAGCTGCATCACAGGCCATGGGAAAATAATTCATGTACCCAGGGAATTAAAGGTGCACTAATTATGTTATTAACAGCGAATGTCCCTCTACACCACTTCCCTGGCCGTTAATCACATAATTAAGGGTACCTTTAATTCCCCCTAAACACATGCATTCACACTTGGTACTTAATACAGGGACGTGTACCCATAGCACGTAATAGACCCCAATCTACAGGGTATCCACCTCTTACATAACAGCGATACGGGACTACAGAGGAGCTGAAACAAGTTGTCAGAGATGCATTTTGCCTCCTTACTGACTCTATCCACGTCACGGAAGATGTGGCACCGAACATGACGACGGATCATTATCCGCCAAGAAAATGATGGCGCTCGCACACACTGATCCTCTGGGACAACTAAACGCAGTTGAACACTTGTATTGAATACAATTAAGTACTTCTAAGTACAATTATCATCATTCATCCGCATGTTTCAGTTGTTGATCAGTGCACGGAAAACTTCCTGTGGTATTGACCTCCAGTGGGGGGGAAGGTAGGCGAGTTCTCCTTGGAACTGAACTGGCTCCAGGGTGACATGCCTGATAATGGAATGTCGGAATCTAGTCCTCTCTGTGGGTCAGCGGTATTCCAGGGCACTGCTGGTGACAGCACAGCTCCGCCTGGCTTGTCGACAGAGCTTGGAAGGCCAGACCAGATACTGGGGGCTGGGAGTCATCCAACTCAGCTCCTGTTAACCCTGCAAGCCAAAGTCCTAACGGATAGAGTGGTCCTAGCTGGACAAGTAACGGAAAAGCTTGCCGGGCAGCTATATCAATGGCAAGCTATCCGTTTTTAGGCTCTAGCAGTTACCCCAAAGTACACTCTGGGGTCCCCGAGCCTTGGCTGTTGCTAACCTGCGTCTAATACTCTCCGGAATTAGGTAAGCAGGATGCGTCCTTCCAGGGAAAGAGTGTACATTCGATTCCAACAATCTATCTCTGGGATTTCCATGTGTAGGTGGGATTATATGGAATTCTCAGCTTGGTTTGGAGACTCTTAAGCAGGGGGATGGGTTTCCGCACGTGTCACCCGGCGGGGCTGTGCAAAAAAAAAGAAAAACACACAAGCGGTTACAGGACTTTGTGGACACCAAGCTCCTTCACCTTGTTAGAGCTGGTGTGAGAGCTCCGCGGCCCCGCACTGGTTTCCCTCGCACAGCTGGAGTTTCGGGAGTTTCCGGGGCGCCGTTCAGGTAAGACAATTCCTGAAGTTGCTGTTGTCGAATTTCATCATTGTAATCCTGCAAAAACAGACATTAAAAATATTTTATTGATTGCATACAAGTATTGGTTAGATCACTTGCTCAGGGCGAAACCTTAGGCAAGTTTCCTTACCCCACACGCCTGTTTACCTAGCAGTAAGTAGGAACCCGGTTGTTAGTCAATTAATGGATCACTTTCAGAAGGTAATAATCCTTCTTAAAAAAAAATTGGTCATTCAATCCACGGCTGTTTGTGAGACACTGCTGTCACGTTTCGCCCACAAAATATACAGTGAATTCACTTTAAGACCTCTCAAATGATGTGTTAAGGTGCTATACCAAATACAAGGATTATTATTAGCTATCTGCATAAAGTCACAACTGCCTCACGCCTGCAATGTGCCCAATAGAAGCGGTTCAAAGTTGAGGCTTTAACAGTTTAACAGTCTGGCAGAGTGCTGCAGTGTCAGTGCTCCGGATATGACATTAAACCGCGTTCCATCTGTGGATTTTTGGGTGGACATTAAAGATCCTGTAAGGGTATCGAAAAAGAGAAAGGAGTTTTTCTTTCCCAGTGTCCTGGATAATCACCTGGATAAAATGAGTCACTCACTCCATGGTTGCTTACGGGGAATTGCTGTGTGCAAAATCAGCTACCACACTTGCCCAAAGAATACACAGTGCACTTCACAGTAAATCTTGAAGTGCTTTGAGACATCTTCCTGACTTGAAAAGTACCATTTGGTTTGAGGATTAATAATCATAATAATCCTTGCATTTGATATTGCATCGCATCACGTCTTCAAGACGTCGCAAAGTGCTTCACAGAATATACTGTAAAGTGTAGTGACTTTGTATTTTGCGGGCAAAATGGATTAAATATGGATTAAAGGAACATATCAAATGCAAGTATTATTATTTTTAATATTCCGTGCAGTTGAAAGGTCGAAAGATACTGCTCTGAAGTAAGCTACAAGAAACGTGGCATAACAGAATGCAATCTTGTAATGCAATCTATGGACAGATGAGGTTACACCATAATCAAACAAAGGATTAGTCCTGCTTTAAGCCACTATTGGATAGAAATATGGTTGAATAGTTGGGAGTTTAAAATAATCTTTGCGGCAGGAGACAATTGTAATTCTTTCTATCACGCAAATCATCTCTCTTTTGTTTTGGGTCATATTTTAGCATTTGTGGAATTTTATACACATTTAACATTTTTTTTAAATTTGGTGATGCCGAGTGCTTCACAGTGGTGTGGGGCTACGCCGTTTTATACTGTTTAATACTGAACAGCTTCAACAATTACTATATAATATATAACATAATAATCCTTGCATTTGATATAGCGTCTCATCACAAGGAAGGTGGAGGGCAGGGAGAGGAGGAGGGTGACCCAAGGCACGGTCGATTTTGAACTCTCCTCTGAGGGATGGAGCCGGGCGAGGGTGGGGTTGATGGGGTCACGGAGCCTGGTGCGGGAGAGGACGCAATAAGATGTGATAAGTCGCTACATCAAATGCAAGGATTATTATTATTGAAGGCACCACCAACACTCAGTGGAGAATTGCTGCAGTAACTGACTGCAATAACCACCGGCTACAATAAATAAAATGAAGCCAACGGCTGGATGAATCCGATCTGTAGTTCCATGGCGCACTGCAGAGCAACTGTCTTGTGCAAAAAAGAGCAGAAAGCAAGGAGAACGTAGCCCACTGAGTTGCAGTATCTGTAGATCAGCTTCCACACAGGGCTTTCTTTGTTACTGTTAGAAGTATTAAAAGAATGCAATTCAGCACTTCTTATGGATCCGATCTGCTGCATTTCCTGTCAAAGTCAAAACCGCACAAGTCGAGGCCTCTGTTAAAACACATTTCTTTTACAAATATCCAGCACAGCAGATTTTCTGGGAACTCGGTTAAAAAGCCAGAAAAGCTGGCAGCAAAAGGCATTTCAAATAAATATTACTTGTCCACAACTTCACAGCCCTCCATGGCCTTGCTCCTCCCTACCTCTATGACCCAACGCCATATCAACCTGCCCACTCCCTCTGCTCAGCAGGTTCTGGACCACTCCCTGTCCCCCAACCTGCGCGCCCCACTATCGGCATTCGGGCCTTAAGCCTCTCTGCTTCCGACCTTTGGAATACTATCCCACATCCCGTTGGAACTCCATTCCTCTTCAATGCGCTTTTGGCCACCCTCCTACCCCTTACCCTCCCCTCCACCCCTCCTGATCCCAACCCCCAGCTCGGGTCCAAATTCCTGACTGGCCAGCGCTTTGGGCCGTCCTCCAGACACTGTGTAAATGTAATAGCACTTTCCAGCTCTGTTCCCCAATCCCACAATACTTTTACTGCTCAGGTTCCTTATTCCATCTTTTTTGAATTATTCTTATGATCCAACCTCAACAGACAGAAGTAGTAATGAGTTCCAAACCCCAGCAGCCCTTTGACTGAAATGGCAATTTGCCGGCTAAAGGCCAGGTTTAATAGGTTTCCATTACAAGCATTAGCCACTGACTCACACTATTTATACCAGGGCAAACAAGAACAAATTATATTAATAAGCACTTTTCACATCAAGAGGATCAGGTCCCAAGGCACAGGAGAGTCAAGGTTGTGCACCCGAGCTGGACGCTGGAATCAGGAGAGGTGGAGGGCAGGGAGGGTAGGGGTCGGAGAGTGACCCAAGGTGCGGTTGAAGAAGGAAGCAAGGGAGGGAGGGAGGCGACGAGACTGTGGGATGGAGTTCCAAAGGTTGGGGGCAGAAAGGCTGAAGGTTAGGCGGGTAGTGCGGGGGATGTGGATCAGGCCGGAACCCGCTGAGCTAAGTATTATACAGACACCTATTTCACATCAGAGCTTAAAAAACACTCCTTGAAAAACGAGACGAAATTCGATCACTTTGCTTAACTAAAGCTTGCCGAGAGGACTGAACACAATTAAACTGAACACTAACCGGGATGAGAAACTTTTTGACTTCCTCCAGAGCATGTCCCATCCTCGCGTAGGCCTCTGACGGTGGGGCAAACACCTCAATCAGAACGTGTAGGTCTTCATTCAGGTGTGTATACTTGGTTTCTCCACCCTTCCTCAGCTCCTCTTCCTGTTTTTTAGCAATTGGGGGTAGGAACAGAACAAAAAAAAGTAAATCAGGATTAAGTTTAAAACAAATCAAAGTCAGGAGCTACACATTACTACAGCACGTCACTGCACTTTCTCGTACGTTCACCTGGATGGTTTCCACCTCCCACATTCTCTTTGGAGTCCTGCAGTGTAGTGGTTAGAGCACTAGTGAGAGGACCCGCGTTCAATTCCCGGACGGGGCGAAACCTTGGACAAGTTTCCTTACTTCACACGCCTCTGTTTATCGAGCAGTAAGTAGGACCCTGGTTGTTAGGTGATTGGCAGATCAATTTTAGGGGGCATTAATCCATCAAAAAATGGTCACTCAATGCACGCGTGTCTGTGTGCAATTCCACTGTTGTGCGCAATTGTCTGCCATGATTCACCCACAAAATACGCTGACAATCCACTTCACAATATATTCTGTAAAGCGTGTTGAGACGTCTCAACGAGATGATAAGGCGCTATATCAAATGCAAAGATTATCATCATCATCTTTGGGAAGTTAAGCCGTTTAATACTACTTTCGACATATTTTTTAGAATTAAGCATTTACCGCACAGAAGGAATCCATTCAACCCATCATACCTCTGCTGGCTCTCTGAAAAATCTACCCATTTAGTCCCACTCCCTGCCCTTTCCCCATTACATTTATATTTTCTTTTTCAAATTTCGCCCATAAAATATAGTCGATTCACTTTACAGTATATTATGCAAAGCGCTTTGAGACATATCGAAGGCATGATAAGGCGCTATATCAAGATGTAAGAATTATTATTAATATTAATACATTTGCCCAATTCCTTTTTAAAGTTATTATCAATTCTCCTTCAACCACTATTTTTGGTAGGACACGGCACATCCTAATAAACCTGTGTGTAAAACAATTTCTCCTAATGTTGTTTTTTGTCTAACAGGGATAATCTTGCATTCCTGCCCTCCAGCTCCTGACTCAGCAGCCAGCTTCTAATTGCTTGTTAAACCAGACTGAGCTCAGAAACCTTTGTTTAACAAATAACTCGGAACAGGAGGAAGTTGTTCAACCCGTCGAGCCAATTCCATCAGTGGATTAGATCCTGGCAATCCTTTTAACCACTTCCCTGTCTTTACCCATATCCCTAAATCCCCCCCTTATGTATCAAATATCTAGCTCTCTTTTAAAGGAATCTAATTGATTCTACCTCTCCAGCTTTTTGGGCAGCGGGCTCCACATTCTCATAACCCTTTGTATGAAGGAATAATAATATAATCCTTGCTTAGAAGCTACAGATCCCAGAAACCCACCAAATGGAGAAAGTTAACTTCCAGTAAAATTGAGGTTCTGGGGTTGAAATGTTGCCCTATAGTAGAAGGGCATTTGGTTGCCGTTTGTAACCTCAGTATTGGCAAAAATAACAGACAGATGGAGCGGATCAAAGATCATTATGCAACTGCAAACCTTAAATATCAATGCTGAAAACTATGACATTTCGAGACTAATCTCACAGTTATTATAGGTTTTAGTTTTATTGCTTTGGGCAGCAATAACTCCTTCACAAGTGTTCCAAGCTGACTGTGAACTTCATTTACGTTAATGCCTTCTCTTGTATACTTAATGAGCGCATCCGACAATGGCAAGTCCACTCTCCCCTTAATTGTGCTTCAACCAGTCTGAGGAACATAGGAACAGGAAGAGCCACAACACCAATCGATAAGGAAGGTGTTTCAGGCGGGACTTGAAAAAGGGGAGAGAGGGGGCAAGGCAGAGGGATTGCGGGAGAGTGTTCCAGAGTCTTGGGGCGTAGTGGCTGAATACACGATCTCCGATGGTGAAGTGGAGGGCATGAGGGACACGCAGGAGGCCGGTGCCAGTCGAGCGGAGGCGCCGGGTGGTGGATTGGGGTTGAGGAGGTCGGAGAGGTAGGGAGGTTTACTGTAACAACTTGCATTCATACAGCCCCTTCACCCAGGATAGTATTTTGGAGTTCTTAATAGTGGTGGAGCTTGACACCAAGCCAGGGAGAGGGGAGGTGACCATGAACATGGTTGAAGAGGAATGTCTTCAGGTGTGATCTGAAGACAGATAAACAGGGCACAAGGCAGAGGGATTGAAGCAGGGAGTTCCAGAATTTGGGAACGTAGTGGCTGAAAGCACGGACGCTGATGGTGGAGTGGAGGAAGCGAGGGACATGTAATAGGCTGGAGCGAGTTGAGCGAAGGGGGCAGGTGGTGGAGTGGGGTGTGAGCAGGTCAGAGAGGTAGGAAGGTGCTCAGAGACATTAATCGATTCCATTGCTATCCGAATAGCAGTGATATAAAGTAAAATATAATTTTCAAAGTAGAAATAGAAATAAAAGTCACACACTTGGCTTTACGGACACATTTATACACATTTGGTGTGAAGAGGAAATCTCTCCTTCAAAGTACCTTTTTAAAATAATAATCCCTGCATTTGTTATCGTTGAGACGTCTGAAAGCGCTTCACAACATATATTGTAAAATGGATTGACTGTGTATTTTGTGGGCTTAAAAAAAAGTGAAACACAATGAACACAATATTATTGTATTCCATCCAATTTCAATTGCTTTTTTTAAAATCTGTATTTGCATTTAACTATCCTGTTGATCCTTCACATTCCCTCAAATTCTCTGTCACAATCCCTCCACTCTGTTCCTCATTCTGCACTTTCCCTTTGTCTTCAAAGCTCTCTTAAAAATGGGAAATAAAAGACAGTATCAGCCTGGCTCAGTTAATAGCACTCTTGCCTCTGAGTCAGAAGGTTGTGGGTTGAAACCCAATGTCAGGACTTTGAACGAGGGCTGACACTCTAATGCAAACTAGCTGCCGGTTTGCCCACAAATGTGAAGTCATTATCATTGTGCTTAACAGTAAATCCTATGAAGCACCTCGAGACAGATATCTTGAAAATGTGACATGGGGTGATATTAAGTGCAGGGATTATTATTAATTATTCTCATCAGATCTCTACCCTTGCCACTTCCTGTGAGCTGCACAGAAAATTATGTTGGTGGCAACTTAATGAACTGCAAATGAAACATTTTAGCACAAGCTCCAACTGACACGTAGGAAGCCTGAACAGGTCCGCACTCAACCATACAATCGAATCCGTGTCACAAAGAAGCAAATTATAGTAGGGATGAGCTGAATACAACAACAACTTGCATTTACACAGGGTCCCAGAGCACTTGACACTGGCGGAGCACGAGGGGAGGGAGGGGACGTGACCGTAGGCATGGTCGAAAAGGTCTTCAGGCACAACCTGAAGATGGGGAAGGAGGGGGCAAGGTGGAGGGATTGAGCGAGAGAGTTTCAGAGTTTGGGGCGTAGTGGCTAAAAGCAGAGCCAAAAAGCAGGAGGCAAAAAGCAGGAGGCAGGAGCCAGTCAAGCAGAGATTGGGGATTACCCAGGTAAGAAACTTTGGGAGGTGTCAGGATATGAAGGGATTCGAAGGTGAGTCTGAGCATGCAAGGTGGGATATTGGTATGAAGGGCCATGGAGAATATAAGTTGTTGCAGTAAATCTGCTCACAACAGTTCCAGGCAGGAATAGACAATGGGTCCATCAGTCTCTCCATCAATGTGACTGATACCAGGCAAGACACTAAGAAATGTAATACAAGGAAGCTGAATTAACATGCGCGGGTGTTGCTGACTCAGCTTGGTGGTCGTGACTACGTTTCTGCTAAGGCTCACTCATGTGATATTAATCTGAAGGAAAATGCTGAGAAAGACTAGTTTGATTGGCTTTCTTTAAGTAAATCATGGCGCTGATCATGTTAATCGACTGGAAGAGGCAATTCCAGATGGGTGCAAAGTGCTGTCAGCTTGTATTTTCTGCTTCAACATACATTGTTAAAGGGACAACGTGTGAAAGGAGCGCTTGACATTGGCGGAGTCTGACGCCAAGACTGGGGGAGAGGGAGTGGGTAGGTGACCGTAAGCACGACTAAAATGGAAGGTCTTTAGGAAATGAAGGTGGGGAGGGAGGGGACAAGGCGGAGGGATTGAGGGAGAGAGTTCCAGAGTTTCAGGGGGTAGTGGCTGAGGGCACTGCCACCGATGGTGGAGCGGAGGAGACGAGGGGCAAACAGGAGGCCGGAGCCAGCGGGTGGTGGAGTGGGGGGTAAGCAGATCGGGGACGTAGGGAGGTGCCAGGGCATGAAGGGATTTGAAAACAAGTGACAGGATGGATTTGAGGTTTCTCTCTCTCTCTTTCTCACCCAGTGAGAGAGGAATTAAGCGGGAGAATGAAAGATGTGCAACGGGCTAGGAATTTTCAGACCCCTTTCTTACCTTTGCTTTGTCCCTCATGGAGCCTTTCCCCAAGATGGACATTTTTGTCAGCGTTTCCTCCTGTAACCTCTTCAAAGAGTTCCCACGTGGGCCCAAGAGTTTTCCCACAAAGTTGAACTGTAAAGGAGGATGAAAAGCATTTTAACAAATACTTCTACAAATCATTCCAAACATCAGATGTAATTCTCCCCCCTCGATGAGCAGCGGGGGTGTGAATATCACCTACGGTTTACTCAAGCAATACAGTAGAAGTATATAATAATCCTTGCATTTGATACAGCGACTTATCACGTCATTGAGACGTCTCAAAGCGCTTTAAAGTGAATCGTCTGTATATTTTGTAGACGGAACGCGGCAGCCATTTGCGCGCAGCAGTGTCCTACAAACAGTCATGGATTGACTGACCAAATTATTATTTTTTAATTTTTTTATTGAAGGGATTATTCCCCCCAGAAAAGCAATCCGCCAACTGTAGGAGTTAAGCCCCGATGTGAGATTTATACCCACAACCTTCTGACTCAACGAAAAGAGTGCTACTGGCTGAGCCAGGCTGACGCCTGTATTGTATTGTTATGCACATTAAAATTTACTGCCTTACTGTTATCCATGCTCACATCCATGTCATTGCCTAACCCCATTAGCTTTCATGGCCCGGGTATTTCAGAACACTGACAAACATGGTCACAAAGCTTCTTACCATCAGCAAATGTAGTGATTGTAAATCATTTGAATAGCAGGAGACAGAGAACAAATCATTTCTATTCCCCTCTCCCTCTCCTACAGAGTGTCTTCCGTTCTTCCAATGTGTTCCTTCTTCCGAATGCTAAACTAGTTTTGGAAGCCAGCTAGCTAATTTGCTGCTAATCCTATGAGCTTTAACCGCCTTTAAAAATCTTACGTATGATCCACAGTACTGTCAAATCCAAGTTAATTATAACGGCTGGAGAGACGTCATCCAAAATTGTAGTTACCGACACAGAGAAGCCAGCAAATCAGGAAAGCAGCCTCTTATTCTAACTCAATGCTGACTACATGTGTCTGTACTGTTTTGATGAGCAGTGGCTCATTCACGAAATTCTAAGCAGTGGTGCGTAGTTGTCACCTTTGTAATAATATCCTTGCATTTGATATAGCGCCTCATCGCGTCGTTCAGACATCTCAAAGCGCTTCACAGAATATACTGTAAAGTAAATTGTAGTGATAAGGTACTATATCTAAAGCAAGGAATACTGTTAATATTATTAAACACTCAGAGAAGCGACTGATATGATGAATGCTATATAAATGCTAGCTGTTGTCTTGCCTGCTTTGTGAATCGCGTGGACATGAAGAGACAACCCCTCAACAATGACACCTTTTACGATGCCCGGCTGCACTCAGTGCTGCATCAGGTGTCAGGCTAGACTATGAGCTCGAACAGTGAATGAAGATCCAAGGTGGGTGACTACACGACTGATGAAACACCATCACTCTCGCTCCGCATAAATGCAGTTAATCGGAATCAAAGTGAATATCACGTCACTCCTCGGTTCTGGCTCAATCTAGTGCACGCACCAGACAGTATTAATTTAGCAGCCTGACACATACAGGGTGGTCCCCCTCTGGGTAGAAAATGAATTGGGATTCTAAATCAAATGCTCACTAACCAGTTTGATACGAACCAAATGTATTCAAAATCAACTGAAGGCTGAAACCTTCAGTGATGGTGAACATTTACGCTGAATTCGTTCTTATGACACATCTTTCTATACATGTAATTTTATTGCTAATCATCAGCACAGAAAACAAGAGCACTTACTGCTGCCGTTAGCGAGGCAGAAGATGAAATACCACTTTGCTCCATTCTGGTACAATACTGTTTTCACGACATAATAAAATAATAATCCCTGCATTTGATGTAGCGCCTTATCACATCGTTGAGACGTCTCAAAGCCCTTCACAGAATATACTGTAAAGTGAATTGACTGTATATTTTGTGGGCAAAACGCAGCACCCGACTGCGCACAGCAGCGTCCCACAAACAGTCGTGGATTGAGTGACCAAATTACTACTATTTTAAAAAAAAATTATCAATTATTCCCCCTGGAAAAACGATCCACCAATCGATTAATAACTGGGCTCCTACTTACTGCTAGGCAAACAGAGATGTTTGGAGTAATGAAACTTGTCTAAAGTCTCCCTCTGCCTGGGAATCAAATCTAGATCCTCTCGCTTATGAGGCAAGTGCTCTAAACAATACGCTACAGGACTCCAGAAGCAGTATTGTAGCATATAGTTAACAAGTTCAGATGAGCCCCCGCCTTCCAATCCCCATGTTTAAAGGTTGGAAAACTGGGAATTTGGCCAAGTTATGACCGACATGTTGGCACATGTACACCACACTTGGTAATTTATTTGTAGGGAAACTTGCCAGCCAATTTGTGCACAGATGGGCCCAATGGTCTACTGCGCCAAATCATTTCCTTTCCAATACCCAAGACCCTGTAGCCTGGATACAACTGCAGCAACACTGCATACAGTTCTCACCGGGACATTAGAAGGTTGTTCTGTTTCTGGAGGAAGTGACAGGAATAGATTCACAAACAAACTAAGTCAAATTGCAGCGAACACTATTTCACAGCAAACATTGTCCCAACCTTCAGAAGCAATAATATTAATAATAATTCTTGCGTTTGACATCAGGCCTTACCACGTCGTTGAGACGTCTCAAAGCTTCGTAGAATATACTGTGAAGTGAATTGATTATTTTTTGTCAGCGAAATGCGGCAGTCAATTGCACACAGAAGTGTCCCACAGTCGTGGATTGAGTGACCAAATTATTATTATTTAAATTTTTCGAGTTGAGTGATTATTGTCCCCAGAAAGTGATCAACCAATCGACTAACAACCAGGTTCCTAACTTACCTCTACTTAAACAGAGGCATGTGGAGTAAGGAAACTTGCCTAAGGTTTCGCCATGCCCGGGAATCGAACCTGAGACCTCTCACGAGCAAGGTGAGAGCTCCAACCACTACGCTACAGGTATCCTGAGACAAACTTACAAAATGTAGGGCAGTAGGTTTCCTTACTTCACACGCTGTTTACCTAGCAGTAAGTAGAAACCCGGTTGTTAGTCAATTGGAAGATCGCTTTCTGGGGGAAATAATCCCTCAACCACGACCATTTGTGGGACACTGCTCTGTACAATTAGCTGCCGTGTTTTGCCCACAACAACACAGTCAATCCACTTGATAATATATTCTGTGAAGCGCTTCGAGGTGTCTTGTCGACATGATAAGGTGCTATATCAAATGCAAGGATTATTATTATTATAATAAGCAGTTTCTGTTTCACATAATAGTATTGGTACAAAGTCTTACCGCGTGCAAACATTTCGAAGCATTTCACATTGCAAGTTACTCTAAAGTATAGTGACTCCCAGGAGAGCACACCAACAACACTGCACGCCAGTTTTCTGAACAGATTTCGTATTTTTTCAGTAAGTGTACGTTGGGGCCTGCATGCAATCAGTAAGCTCAAGCTCAAGTTTGAACCCTCAATCTCCTATCCAGAGGTGAGAGCCGACAACCCAGCCAAGCTGGCACACAAACTGACGCTCACTGTTTGAGAAATGAAATGTCAAGCCATGGAACACAAAACACAAAGCCTCCTGAATGTGGGAGGAAAAACTAGGTCACTCATTCAACACACGTTAGTCCAGTACACCAGAAGCGATCCTAGAGTCAACAATTAATTTAAAGTTGTCTGGACTCCAAGAATGTAAGTGCCTCCCCCAACACCATAAAGTCTTCTTGAAGGAGGCCTTTTTGAACACTAGCCTAATTGTCCTGATGCATTTGGGATGTGTGAAAGCTGCAACTCTTCATTAATTGCCAGCGATATAACTCCTTCTGCATAAGAAAATCTCAAAGTCTCATCCTGTAAAGACAGGATGAGATTCATTAGAAATTAACTGAATGTTCTGGATGTGGCAGCTCAGTTGTTCCAGCAACATCCTACAAATGAGGACAGGAGAAGCTTGAATTTGGAAGAATCTGGACGAGGAGGAAATAAAATAATAACAATAATAATCCTTGCATTTGATATAGCGCTTTATCACTTCGTCCTTGAAATGTCTCAAAGCTCTTCACAGAGTATATTGTAAAGTAGATTGACTTTATATTTTCTAGGCGAAAAGCGGCAGCCAATTGTACAGAGCAATTATTTTTGAGGGATTATTACCCCCCCCCCCAGAAAGCGATCCGCCGATCGATTAACAACTGGGTTCCTACTCACTGCTAGAAAAGTATGTGGAGTAAGGAAACTTGCCTAAGGTTTTGCCTTAAAAAATCTCTCCCCCCAAAAGTCTGTGGATACTGGATTAATTCAAATTTTCAAGACTGAGGTGGATAGATTTTTGTTAGGTCGGGCCATCAAGGGACATGGGGCAAAAACGGGTGAATGGAGTTGAGTTACAGATCAGCCGTGATCTAATAGAATGGTGGAACAGGCTCAAGGGACTGAATTCCTGTTCCGATATAACAGTTCTGTGGTTCTACTTGGAATAGAGGAGTTACTCTAGGATGCGATGGGCATCTGGACCTTTTAACATGATTCACTTCTATGTGTTCACATGGTGCTCCTCCTACAGTCACTGCACTGACAGCTGCTTTTGTTAAAAAAAATGTCTATGGACAGACACTTTGAAGTCATCCTGACACTTGTGCGAATGAGCTTGTGCTGTATTTCCAACTCTGCCCCATCTGGTGTACAGGGGTATTTGCAGATGTAGTCTCCAGAGGTTAGCAGTCTCCTTGCAGCTGAACTAGCTCCAAAGGGACATGCTTGGCAATACTACAATGAAGTCAATCCTCTGTGGTTGGGTCTGGCTCCTGAACCAGATGGGTTCACACTACCCCAGGGCACCGTGAATGACAGACTAGCCAGCTTAGATCAATGGCATAATTTAGGCAGGGAGTCATCCCACTCAGCTCTTGTAAACCCTGCAAACCAAATCTCTAACGGGTAGGGTAGCTGGGGTGGTCCTAGCTCAACAAGCAGTGGGAACCTTTCCAGACAGTGCTTTCAATAACAACAATATTCCTTGCATTAGATACAGCGCATTATCACTTCATTGA